TTTACTTTTAACTTCCAGTTCCCATTCAGAACCTAATGAAGTGGCTCCACTGAAGAGGAAAGTTGGAAAAGCTCTGTTTAAAGACATCCCTTTACTTTTGAGACCTCCTTCCTCTTGTGTTTGGTCAGTCTTGTAACAATAGCGTAAAACTCATGAAGGAAGGCATGCATAGGCTCAGTTGCCTTGACTCAACTTCATGCTTTCGGAGCTGTTTTGCTGGAGAGTAGAAAGACCCTAGTAAAGAAGTCCAGCACAGGAGGGTGTAGAGGGCTGCCTCAAAGCTCTGGCAGTTTTCAGAAGAATAAGGGGAAAGAGGAAGAATTGAAAAAAACTTGACAGACCACTACTAATGAAAGACCCAAACAGTGTGGCATCTCAGTGATTAACTGACAAATAGGTTGCTGTTGCCTGTGAAAGCTCATGCCTCTGAACCAGTTAGTCTCTAAAGTGTCACCCTGCCCTGCCTTCTTACTGCCTGAAAGAGTCAAAGCAAACTGGTTGGGAGAAACAAAGCCACTAACTTGTTCCACTGTTACAAAAACTTCCAGGGGTGGAAACTGAGAAGTGAGACATAGGTTCCAAACTGCTTCCAATGCTGGACCTCTTCTAAACTGCAAGAGGGAAGGGGCGCATCAGCATCTGTTACTACCTGCAGATTTTAGAATATCTGTTTAGTTGCACATTTAACTCTTACCCAAGACAGTAATCAAGACAAGAACTATTACCACCTTTTTGGAGAGAAACGTAGAAAAGGTATACACGCTCACATAAAACACATGTATTGATCTACCCTCAAATAAAGGCGCACATGTAACTTTTATAAGTCATATTGTATGCTCTTTCTGTTATCGCGAATATAGTACATCACCCCAAAGGAGTGTTAATACAACAACAACAGCAACAACTTGCTCAATTGGTAACATGTATTTTCTCTAGAAAAGCATTCATAGATTCATAAATGTTAGGGCCAGAAGGGACCTCAGTAGGTCATCGAGTCTGACTCCCTGCCCTGGGCAGGAAAGAGCGCTGGGGTCAAATGACCCCCAGCTAGGTGCTTGTCCAGTCTCCTCTTGAAGACCCCCAAGGTAGGGGGGAGCACCACCTCCCTTGGAAGGCCATCCAGATTCTGACAAGCCCTACTGTGAAGAAGCTCTTTCTAATGTCCAACGTAAATCTGCTCTCCATCAATTTGTGGCCATTGTTCTTAGTTACTCCTAGTAAATAGAGCATTTCCTATTCCCTGCTGCCCTCCCCTGTTGAATTTATAGGCAGCCACAAGATCACCTCTCAGCCTTCTCTTGCAAAGGCTGAAGAGATCTAGGTCCCTTCAGGCCTCTGACCATACGAGTGGCCCTCCTCTGAGCCCTCTCAAGATTCTCCGCATCCCTCTTGAAGCGTGACACCCAAAACTGGACACAGCACTCCAACTGCGGCCTGACCAGTGCCATATAGAGGGGAAACATCACCTCCCTGGACACGTTCATCGTGCATCTGCTAATGCATGATAAAGTGCAGTTAGCTTTGTTGATCACTTTGTCACATTGATGACTCGTATTCATCTTGGAGTCAACTATGCCTCCAAGATCCTTTTCGCTGCTGTGCTGCTGAGAAGGTCATCCCCCACCTGTAAGTGTGTTGGTGGCTTTTTCCCCAGGTGCAGCACTTTGCACTTGTCTTTGTTGAACTGCATCCTATTTCGTTCTGCCCATTTTTCCAACCTGTCCAGATCTGCCTGGATCCATTCCCTACCCTCTGGCTTGTTAACTTTGCCCCATAATTTGGTATCATCTGCAAACCTGGACAGGGTGCTCTCCACACTCTCATCCGAGTCACCGATTAAGACATTGAATAGCACCAGTTAAAGGACCGAGCCTTATGGGACTCCGCTGCCCACATCTTTCCAGGTCAATATCGACCTGTCCACCACCACTCTCTGGGTGCGACCCCTAAGTCAATTTGCCACCCACCTGACTGTGTAATCATCTGCATCACAGCCTGTCAATTTATTTACGAGAACAGAATGAGATAGTGTATCAAAGCCCTTCTTAAAGTCTAGGTAGATGACATCTACCTCGACTCCTGCATCTAAGTATTTTGTGATCTGGTCATAAAAAGAAACAAGTTAGTCAGGCAGGATCTACCTGCAATGAATCCATGGTGATTTACTTTCAGTATTATTTCCCCTGCTGGGCTCCCACAAATGTGATCCTTAATGATTTTTTTCCAGTCTTCCCAAGGATAAAGGTGAGACTAACAGGCCTATAGTTTCCTGGTTCATCCCTCCTCCCTTCTTGAATATAGGGACCACATTGGCCCTTTTCCAGTCCTCTGGAACCTGATTGGAGCACCATGAGAGCTCAAACAGCCATGCCAGTGGCTCTGCTATGACACTGGCCAATTCCTTCGGCACCCTTGGATGAAGTTCATCTGGGCCTGCTGATCTGAACACATCCAGCCCCTCCAAGTGCCCCTTCACTAAGTCTGTGCTAACAGTTGTTGGGCTAGTGTCCCTCCTGTGTCTATCTATGATTCAATTGGGAGATTTGTCTTTGTCTGTGTCTAGGAATACAGATGCAAAGAACTCATTGAAGAGCTCAGCTTTGTCCCCCCTCCCTGTCACCAATTGCCCTAGTTTGTCCTGTAGGGGTCCTATGCTACCCTGCACCTTCCTTTTGCTCCCTATATACCTGAAGGACTTTTTGCTGTTCTTAATTTTTATTGCCAGCCTAAGTTCTAATTCTGCTTTGACTTTCCTGATTTCCTGCAAGCACGAGCCAGGGAGGTATAGTCCTCCTTGGTAGCTACCCTGTTTCCCCAGTCTGTATACCTCTTTCTTTGCCCTTAGGCCTTCCTGGACTTCCCTGTTCAGCCAAGAGGGCTTCTTGCCCCCTTTATGCCCAATGGGATTGTCTCCTCCTGCGCCCGTAGAATTGCTCCTTTGAGGAACAGCCACCCTTCCAGGACCCCCATTTCACCAATGCTCTTGAGCTTTAATGGCTTGCTAACTAATCTCCTGAGCACACTGAAGTTAGCCTTTCTGAAGTCTAGCTCTGCTGGTTAGTTTACGCACCCTTCACTGGATAGCGAATTCAATCAGTCGATGGTCACTATCCCCAACTTACCTTGTACCTGCAGATTCCCACCAGGTCATCCCCTGTAGCTAACACCAAGTCCAGCAAGGCATTTCCCCAGGTGGGACTGTATAGCCCCTGCATTAGGTGGAGGTCCTGTATGCAGGTTAAGAACCTATGCGAGTGGTTAGATTTGGCCAACTGCTCCTCCCAGCAGATGTCAGGTTAGGTCACCCATGACAACCATATCTCTCGACTGTACGGCCTCTGAGACCTGTCTGGAGAATTCCAGATCTAGCTCATCCTCCTGGTGTGGCGGTCTATAGCAGGCCCCCACTACCAAGTCCTTGGTACCCCCTGTCCTGATGTCTATCGGGCCCCTTAGCATTTACCTGGACTTAACCAATACACTGCTCGTGGCTTGCTGATCTTAGATTCTCTTTATCCTCTGCTGCTCTGTCACCTGACAAACCTATTTTAAAGCCCTTCGGAGATCAGCCAACCTGTAAGAGAATAGACTTTTAGAAGAGAGATGAAGACCATCTCATCCCAGAATGACTCTCTCATGGAAGTGCATTTTAGCGAGATAGTTAGATGTTAAAAGTGATAGGCATAATGTTACCCTCAAGGCAGTAGCCAAGATCAAGACTGTGGTGTTTTGATGAAATAATTGTTCTATGTAGGATATGAATATGCTTATTACCATATTTACTCAAATCTAAGATCCTCCCCCTTATTTACTATATTGGGGAACCGCATCTTGGATTTGAGTATCAGAGCCAGGGCTGAAGCTGCTGCTGCCATCACCAGTGCTGCCTGGCCAGGGCTAGGGTGGCTCCCTGTGGTTTTTATAGTGGGGGAGAGGGCACATGGTAGGACAGCATAGGAGACACAATGTGGTATGGTGGGGTGAGGGCACCAGAGAGACTGTGTGGTGCAAGGGCGGTAGGTGGCAGGTATGGTAGGTGAAAGAGGGGGTAAAGCCAGTGGGAGGGAAACAGGCAGTCTGACCTTCATCTCCCCCTCCACCTTGCCATTGCTTCCTGTGCTGCTGCTTTCCCCACTGCAGCAGTGGTGACTGGGCAAATTTAAGATGACTCCCTAATACAGGGGTTGTCAACTAGAGGTACGCATACCCCGGGGGTATTTGGAAAGGTGCTAGGGGGTATACATGGGCAGGCAGGGATGACATCCACCACCCCGCAATACCCCTACTGTGTGCAAGCCCTGCCCCCCTCCCCATGTCTGGCTGCTGCCACCTCTCCTCCCCACCCCCTCCACATTGAAAACCCCGACCCTAACAAATTCTGTGTATGGAAAATTAACAAACATAATTTCTGTGTTCAGAATTATTGGGGGGCGGGGGCGGGCGTTGTCTTAAATTCAAAGTAATCTTGGATTTGGGTAAATACTGTATACAGACAGTATAGATCTGGTCTGCTTGGTTGCCTGCTCAATGTTACTATATTAGTATCCAGTAAAGCTTTCAAGCAGTCCTGTTGACTTCAGCTGGGGCCACGAACCAGCTGGAAACTGCATGGTTTATTTTGCGCTCTAGCAGTCCCTTTGTTTAATCAAAGAAACATGTTGACAGGGTTGGCAAATGATATTTGTCCTCTCTCAGATAGGAGGGAGAAAGGGCAACACGATGGTGAACTGAGGTAGGAAAAAGAAACAAAGCCATAACTTATGAGTAAACTCTCATAAAATGAGGAATTAGGTTTGCATTTTGATATTTACATATACATTTTAACAGAATTACCATTTAGGACTACTCAGTCACTTTTTCTTAGGGATTTCTGAATCTCCCAAAATGGTTACTTGCCTTGCTCAGCAGGCCATAATGCTGTATTTTCAAAAATAAAATGTACGTATTTTCTTTTCACATGAAAATGAACCTGTTTTTATGTTCAGAAGCTTGCAGTTTTGTAAAATATATCAACTCTCATGGATCGGTTTATTTAAAATTACAAATTTTGTTGAGAAAAAAGATTTATGCATTTCTTAATTAACAGAACAAATTTAGCTAAATATAAACTCTGCACTAAATCTTTGCAGTGGCACAATACCAACACAGAATACAGAAGCATTTTTAAACTATACAAAATTTAAAAATTGAAAATAATCATGTTTACATATTCTTTATACATTAACATATAAAATACCTCATTTTATGAGGCATCTAAAACAATCAAAAACATTCTACAGCTATCTCTGAAAATTCAATTCTGGAAACAATTTATTACACTGAAGCTTTACAGGACTCTATATTAAACAAACAATCCAATACACACTTTTTACAAGATTAACATTCCTGGATTTATTCCTAGGCAGGTTTTATTTATTTATTTTTGCTGTACACTCCACTGGTTATCTTTAGTTATAAAAATCTTTTTATTTATAATATGTTGGATAACCAAGTTTCTAATTTAAAAATTGTGCAAACAAAAGAAAAAAAGGGGGAAAATAATGTGTTTACTGTTCATCTGGTAAAAAAAAAAATCATCACCTGCAGCTCTTTTTATCTGATATGATAGGAAAAAGCCATAACAAGTTTGTTTCTGGGAGAATAACAGTTATGTTTTTCTATTCCTTCATTAGACATTTTATATAAGTTATGATAAATTAAACATCTGAGAGAATTACCCATCTATAGACCTGCCTATGTCCTCAAGTCTACACCACCTACATATCTATTCCCTAGCTGGCCACCTATTTGCTGGCCACATTTGCTGCTGCTTCCTAACAGCAGGTATACACGTAATGGCTTATAGCTACATTATTTGTAGACTGAAGTCTGAGATGGTAAACCACAGGTACTACACAGCTCTTAACTTTCAAGAACAAAGGACTGCCACACAGCCACTGATTTATACCACTTCCTCTTCATTGTCTCCAGCCTGTCAATACTGGCTGGGCAGAATTTATCCAAGCTTTTTAAAGTGAAGTTCAAATATTCTTAGTTGAAATTATATGAAAGCATATCCATACATTTTCAGATGAATGCAATAAATTTACTAAGAGGTTATCCATTAGCAAAACTACTGTATGTGCATAACAAATGGTAAAAGTCTAATGCAACGCTGGTCAGTAATGCTGGTTTCTTAAGAAGCAGTATAATATAACTAAAAGTGTTCTTTTTAGAAGTTTTCTTTTCCCTTATCTTGTGGCAGTTCAGATATTTGGTGAAGCCTATATAAAGGAAGAAGACTTTCCAAAATAACATGCTGTGCACTTGAAATTTGTTTTTCAGTCTCTGTTGGTGTTATTAGCTGCAAAGGCATGTAAATTTCCCATTTGGCTTAGGCCACTCTGAATATGTGCAACATGGATCTCAACGTTATTCTGAAAACAACTGAAGAAAAGAAAGAATGGTTAAAATCTGTATTTCAAGAGTCAACTTACGAAACTAATCAATCTGAACATTACTTTAACAACAGTCAGCTGTTTTCAAGTCAAGATATGAACGCAGGAAGCAGTGTAACGGTTCATAAGGACTAATATGCCAGACAGCAATCTACCTCTATCAAGCTACGTTAGTTTATGAGCAAGAGCAAAAGCATTATCTACAGTATATAGCTCGATTTATATATAAATAAATAAACATTTGAGCTCTGAAGAAGAGTCAGTAATCCTGGGAAGTACAAGGAGAAATGAAATACCTATATGTTATTAAAAGTTAATTAGAATACCTGATATTGGAAGAATCTATTGAATTCTTGATGTCATTTAATGAATCTGTAAGTGATTTAAATTCAAAGGAATTCAGGTCACCTCCTTCTGCTAGACACTGCAAGAAAAGCCAAAAACAACGTTTTGAATTTAACCTATAGTTCCTGCTTTAGAATTATAAAAATCTGTGCAAATATAATTAAAGTTCAGACTTAATGCAGCACATAGAGACATTCATTGATGCCCCAAGTATAACCGGGACTGTAGAATCATGTGTTTTGTGTAAAAAAAACTTTTAAAAATAAACAATTTACCTTAATCTGCAATAATATTGCTGTAAGCCTAGCAATCAGTTCAGTAAGGTTTTCATTTTCAACACAAAGATGTCCTGTTGATGATGAGTTTGCTTGCCGGACTATCTCCTGAGCCTCCTCTTCACATCTGCGTCTCAGATCTGTCGGCTGATCTGCAGGCTGAAGGCCTTGGTCTGGAGCAAGCTGCATAGATATAACAGAAGAAAATACTGGTTAGGGCTTGACAGTAGTTGTGAGTGTGAAAGGCAGTCAGCCTTGCTGGGAGTTTTACAAGCAGATAGTTAGCAAAAGTAAGTCAGACCCCAATCATTTTATAGATCCATTTATACATAGATTTAACACAAACCAAGCTGCTGACATCAAGAAAAACTACTGGCACTCAGGGGAGATAAGAGGAGAGAAATATTTTGGAGACCAATGTTCTTTTCAACATGACATTTTACAGAATCATAGAAAGAAGGACCAGAAGAGACCAGTAAGATCATCAAGTCCGGTTCCCTGCCATGGGCAGGAGGTAACGGGCTCAAATGAGCTCAATGAAGTGCTTGCCCAATCTCCTCTTGAACACCTCCAGGGATGGTGACTGCATCACCTCTGCTGGAAGTGCGTTCCAGATTTTGGTTATCATATGGAAAAGAAGTTTTTCCATATGCTTAGGTTCTTTATGTGTCTAAACAGCAGCAACAAATTAACTATGAATTTAGCAGTATATTACCTCATAACAGTATTGCTGAACTTTATGCAGAACTTTGTTCAGGTCCTTGTTCAGTTGTTCCAGTTCTAGAACAATAGTTGCATACCTCCTCTGAAACTCAATGTTGATAGGCATTGAATAGGATTTCTGTGAAGACATGAGCACATATGTATTTATTTGTTTATTTTGTATTTATAAAGATATACTACAAATGTGCAGGCTTGTAGATCCTAAAGTTGCAACTAAAATTGGAACTTAGTGACAGGGGAGAAGTATTTTCCATCATGATATTTCCAAATAATTTGTTTCTACAAAAAGTATCTTTTAAATATTAAAGACATTATTGATAATATTTGCATTATTTTCAAATCCAGTTGACAAGTATCCAGAGTTCCGGGTGCAAGAGCTATGCCTGTTGTTTTCTTTGTAAAGTGCTGTTCCCACCTATGGTGCCAGGGCTACTACTGGCTCTGTGAGCAGATCTGAAAGGTTCTGCTCTAGTGTGGTACAGAAAATAGCTTAGGGCAGCTTTGCTGGCCTTGCTGTATTGTGTATAACTCAAAGGGACTGTTCCAGCACTTAAGAATCAGTGTACTGCAGAGGGACTGTGGCCACAACATTTTGTTCCAGGTATGGTCCTCTACTCACTTTCAGGGTCAGAAGGTGGTAAAGCAGAGCTATTTCACAGAATCTAGGGGTAGAAACAGATATCACCAAATGAATCAGATCAGCTATGCTGCTTCACACGTTGCCTGTTGTTTTGTCCACTGATGCTGTGGAACAATGGGTGATGTGTTCTCCTAGGGCTTCAGGGGCCTGGTCCTGTACACCCTAGGAATTTTTGGGCAGGGTTAGGCCTTTTAAGCCCTGGGAATGCCTGCCTGGCTTTCCCCGCTTACTGAAATGCAGCCTGGGATCTCCAGGACATACCTCGGTAAGTGGGGAGGCCTTGACTTTTCCCACTTACCAAAGCATGTCCTGGATATCACTGGGGCACATCTCAGTAAGCAAGAAAAGTCAGGCAGGTACCCTCAGGGCTTGAGGGGCATGATTCTGACAGGGTTACGCAGATTTGGATCCCTCAAGTACCTGGAGCACCTACTTGGGGTGGCTGGAGGGTACGCATAACCATGGGCTACCCATGCTCCCTGCAAAAAGCAAACGGACATCCACTGCAATAAAGTGGCACACATTAATAATACCTTTTGTCAGGACCACACTGTGGCATGAGTCTGTACATCTATTTCTAAGGCAATATCTGTTTCCACCCTGTAATACCTATAGATTCTTCTTATGCTACACATATTGCATAAAGTAAGTTTTCAATTGATACATCTAAGGATGATTACACAAGCCCCTAACTCAAGGACTAATTATTTGGGAGAAAGCAAATATACAAAGATACCTTCCTGATTTAAACATTTTATTTTGCTCTTTTATTGTTGTATTTTCAGAACTTCCCCCAATGTTTGCTAGAGATAAAACATACAATATCCTGATACTTCAACCATTAACAGATTTCAAGGTAAGCTTGACATATTTCCCCTATTATTGTTTAGGTAAAAAGAATGAGAAAGATTAGTGTTAATCATTCCCCAGCACAATTGTTAACAGCCTCTGGCTTTGGTGGACTAGCGGTGAAAATATATTTCAGAGCCAAATTTCTTCCACCACGAATACCCAAGGTCCAAGAAGCCAAACCCAAACACTGCTATGAAAAGTTCACAATAAATCTCAGCTATCGAGATCAAATCCAGGACTGGACAGAGAATCAGAATTTGAAGCAAAGTAGGGCTTTATACATTAATACCAAAAACTAGACATGCAGCTGCAAATTAACTGAAGACTGGTGCAAGTTTTGGACAAGAGGGGCAAGTCCAGATGAACGTGCACGTGTGGTCCACAGCATCACAGACCTATCTGTGGCATGGTGAAGTGCACATACTGCACATGCAGGCTTTCCTCTTGCTCCTGATCTGGAGCACAGCAGGGTTTTTTTTGACACTGCCAAGATCCCGGTGTCAAAAAAAAAAAGTGGGGCGGCACACATGGTGGCAGTGTATGCTGCCCAAAACCAGAGTCTGGCTGGCCAGAGCCATGCTCTGGCTGCCGGACAGGCTCCACGCATCCAGATCACAGCTGCTGCACACACAGGACCTCAGGTAAGGCTGCTGGGGCCAGCCCAGGTACTGGACTCAGCCTCCCCTACCCCACCCGGAGTATTTTTCCCCATGCTAACCCCATTTGCAGGGGCGTATGCCAGGGCAAAAAACCATGAATTTATGCCGCTGCTTTTTTCCCCCCACAGCAACTACACACCCCTGCTCATGGGGACGTGGCCTAGGTATAACACGCTTCCTACAATTAGGTTGATCATATGTGGACAGTTTCTTCCTGAATTAGCTGTTGCTTCCAACCATTCTTCAATGATACCTTCTTCTTAGAGAGGGGTGATCAACCTGCTGCATGCAACTGCTGTGTGGCATCTAAGCCTTGGGTGCTCTGTAAAGGGAGGTGCTGGAACAGAGTGGGGATTCAGCCATGTGGAGCAGATCAGGGGTAGGATGCTGCTGCCAGACAAGAGCCAAGTTAACCCTTTCCTTGCCCTGCAGCCATCACTAAAATTCAGGGCTTTGGCTCCTTTCTCTCCATATAAAACTGTGGCAGTTGCAGGATCACAGAAGGATTAACCTGGGTCTTGGTGGTGATGCTTCTGTTGCAGCAACATGTTGCCCCTACTCCCTCTCATTAGGGGAGATCAGCAGCAAACAGGAAGGGGCACCTGGGGTGATGAGGAACAATGGCCAGAAGCTGCTGGAGAATAGGTTCAGGTTAGAGATCAGGAGGCATTATTTCATTGGTAGGGTGGCTAGGATCTGGAACCAACTTCCTAGGGAAGTGGTCCTCGCTCCTACCTTGGGTAAATTCAAAAAGAGGTTGGATGAACACCTGTCTGGGGTCGTGTGATCCCAGCATGTGCTCCGGCCAGTGGCAGGGGGTTAGACTACATGATCTATTCAGGTCCCTTCTGACCCCTAACTACTATGAAACTATGGGATGGAGGTAAGGGGGCTCCAGCCTTGCAGTTTGTAGGCAGCCACCAAATCCCCCCCTCAGCCCCTGCTTGCTGAGGCTGAACAGGTTCAGGTCTCTCCGCCTCTCCTCATAGGGCCTGCCTTGTTGCCCTCCAACCAAGCGGGTGGCCCTCCTCTGAACCCTCTCAAGGCAGGCCACATCTTTCTTAAAGTGCGGTGCCCAGAACTGGACACAGTACTCCAATTGAGGCCAAACCAATGTCATGTAGAGGGGGAGTATCACCTCTCTGGCCCAGCTTGAGATGCATCCTTGGATGCATGACAAGGTGCGGTTGGCTTTGCTGGCTGTGGTCTGGCATTGGCGGCTCATGTTCATCTTGGAGTCAATAATGACTCCTCAGGATCCCTTTCTGCCTCTGTGCTCACAAGGGGGAAGCTCCCCAGCTTGTATGTATGCTGTGGATTCCTTCTCCCCAGGTGCAGCACCCTGCATTTATCTACATTGAAGCCCATCCTATTAACATCTGCCCACTTCTGTAATCTGTCTAAATCTAATTGCAGCCTCTCTCTCCCTTCGAGCGTGCCTACCTCTCCCCACATCTTGGTGTCATTGGCAAACTTGGACAACATGTTTTCTACCCCGTCACCCAAGTCACTGATGAAGATGTTGAACAGTGTAGGCCTCAGGACCAAGCCCTGGGGGATCCCACTATTCACATCCCTCCAGGTTGAGTACAACCCGTCCACCACCACTCTCTGGGTGTGCCTCATCACTCAATTTTTGACCATCCAACTGTGTAGGCATCAATGCCACAGTCACTCAATTTATTAATGAGAATGGGGTGAGAGACAGTGTCAAAGGCCTTCTTAAAGTCCGGAAAGACTACGTCCACAGTGACACCATCATCCATGGATTTGGTTACTTGGTCATAAAAGGCTGCCAGGTTGGTCTAGCAGGACCTGCCTTTGATGAACTCATGTTGATTTCCCCTGGGCATGATCTCCCCTGCTGGCCCCTCACAGATGTGATCCTTGATAATTTTTACAAGGATTTTCCCCAAAACTGATGTAAGGCTTATGGGACTATAGTTTCCTGGGTCCTGCTTTCTCCCTTCCTTATAAATGGGGACCACATTAGCTAGTTTCCAATCTCCGGGCACCTGGCCCATGGACCACGATTGCTCATACTGCTGGGCCAGGGGCACAGCAATGACCCCCGCTAGCTCTCTCAACACCTGTGGGTGGAGGGCATCGGGGCCCACAGATTTAAAAACATCCAGCCCTTCCAGAAGTTCCCTAACTACTTCTGTGCAGACCCGAGGCCTGGCAGTGCTAGCCCCATAATTGCCCCTACCTGCGGTGGGAGAGTTGTCCTGGTCCCTGTCCAAGAAAACAGACGCAAAGAACTTGTTATAAATTTTGACTCTCTCATCCGGCGCAGCTGCAAGATTGCCATTTGAGTCTAACAGGGGCCCTACATTACCTGGTGCCCTCTTCTTACTCCCAATGTATTTGAAGGACTTTTTGTTGTCCTTAATCCTGGTTGCTAGCCTGAGCTCCACTCCCACCTTGACCTTCCTAATGGCCCTCCTACACTCACAGGCCAAGGAGGAGTATTCCCCCTTGGTGACAGCCCCTCTCTTCCACCGGGTATACGCCTCCCTTTTGGCCCTCAGGCATTCTCGAATGCTTTTGCTGAGCCATGGGGGTTTCAGAGCACTCTTACTCCCCCTTCTTTCATCCTGGGGCTCAAACTGTCAGGGGTGCCTCTGGGAATGGGAGAGGGTAGGGTCAGAATGGCACTCATAGGGGGCTGGGGTACACTCATGGCATGCCTGCCAAGAAGGTTGGCCACAACTATTTTAGACTATATTGCAATAATCCAATCTGGGAGTTGAAGCCACAGGTAACTAATCCACACCTGAAGAGATGACTGAGGCATCTGACATAAATGAAGATGGGGAGTTGGTGGGGGGAAGAGCGAAAGATGTACTTCTGAGCATTGCCACTTGAAAATTCAGGAACAATCAGGGATTTTGAAACATCAAAGCAACTTACAGATGTTACTGTTAAAAGGTGGGTGTCTTTTTTAATAAAAAACAAGTATCATTTCTGTCAGACGAGCTGTTCAGATGCTTCCCTTGAATGACAGCTCTAACTTGTTCTCACTCTTCAAGTGAAAGAAATTAGACACCAAACCTTTTCATCCCAATTTGTGCTGCCTCTCCAGAAGGCAACTGACTTTTCTGAATGATTGCTATCATCTTATGCAGGGGTTGGCAACATTTTACAGCATGGGCCCCTTTAACGGAGCTTCGCTTGCTCTGAGTGTAGGCTGGGCTGGAAGCAACCCATGCTAACACCACTGGAGCTGAATCTGTGCATCTGTTCCTTGCCGGCCAACACAGCCATTTATCCTTGCTGCTCGAGTGAAGCCCTGTCACCAAAACACCATAGAAGTTTCCTGGCTCAGGGGGCCAGATAAAATTGCCTCAGGTTGCCAACTTCTGGTCTTACCCTCTATTTAGATAACTCTGGCAGATACACTTTTATTTATAAGTCCTCAGTTACAGCTAATAAACTAAGATTAAACATTTAAACATTAAACTGTTCCCTTCAAAAACAAAACAAAAAATGTATTACTTTGGATTAGTCCCTGTTCAATAGACACCCTGCACGCTTGAAGTCATTTAGAGTCTCTTGTTGTTACCAAATAATAGTGTACTCTACACTGAGTTGGGTTGGGAAGTTATACTTATTTCTGTTTTAAGCCAGTCATAAATTTATAGCACAATCACAAAAAGGTTTGTTGTTTGTTTTTTTTAACTGAAACCAGCAGTTTTCAGCCAACTGAAACAATTGCTGTTTCATTATATCTAAAAATCATTGTATCAGAATTATCTGATTGATATCAAAGTCTTTAATATCCATGAACATACTTGAAGTGTTACATAGGTAGCCTGTGTCTGGGGAGAAACCTTTGATTAAATTAAATACGTTTAAAGGGAGAAACTGTGAACAAGATTGCCAAAGGAGGAAAAAAAAGTGATAGAAGTTAAGAACTTAAGCCATTAGAGAAAGGTATTGTCCCGTCCATTTTTTTTTTTAAATCAGCCTTAGGCATTCATACACATTTCTGTATTAAGAGATTTATTTACCAAGGAAACAGTAACACAGAAGAACTGCAAAATATATCACAGTCTTTATCCTGGTTATAGAGCTAAATTTATGAAACTACAAATGTCGCTGTTCCCCTTCTCTCTTGCTGCTTTTTTTGTTGTCCTGGTATTCTTTATTTCCTTTTATCCTTCACATTTTGTCCTTCCATGATAAAGTAAAAGTGTGATTTAGCAGCCGAGTGAGACACTCATATCTAAAGACTATCCCAATCTTGCAATGAGAAGAGGATTTCCGAAACCTGCATCAGTTCTATCAGTTGATATTATACAAATGTCACACTTAAAATCTCAGTTAAAAGTTTTAAGGTAAGTCATATTTAAAAGCTGAGAGAACAGACAGAGGAAGGGAGAAGAGAAATGTTTTATTTATGTTAAAAACCCTAAATGCTTTAGATATTTTATATGCAAAATTAAGCACTTCTAGGCTTTTAATAGAGAAAAACCCTTTCCTCTCCCCTCCACAGTTTTTTACCCAGCAAACCTGTATTTTGAAAGCCCACCCATTTGAGCAGGCACTGGCAGAGCAATATGACAGATAAAAGTAGGAGAGTTATCTGATGGCAATGTGTGCAGGGGGTTGCTTTCTGTAATTTTAGCTTGTGGACTGATTATAAGATATAATGTGCCATTGAAAACTATTCTACTGTTGATGCTTGTGTTGCAATTTTAAAGTGTATGACTGTGATGCCTAGAACACTGCACAGAGTTCTTTTAGAATGGAGTTATTTTTCATATTGAAAGCAACATAATTTATAAATATTTGTCAATTCAATAACATTGAATTATGATTTTGCTTTACTGTAGGAACTTCCATCCAAGATTATCTAAGTATATTACAAAATATCAACTGAATCCTAACAGAACACATATGTGGGAGGCTATCTTCTCAATTTTATAGCTGGAGAACAGATACAGAGGTTAAAGATAATTAGGGTTGCCAACTGTTTTAAAAAAGCAAGACGAAAAATACTTGTCTGTAAAGTACATTAAAAAATAGAGCCACCCATAAAAAACTAAGCACCTGGGAGTTTGATTAAAGATTCCTGGTTAGAAAAAAGTTGGAGGCAAGCTCTGAAGGACAGATAGAGCAGAACAGAAGTCCTGCAGCCTTCAGAGAACATTATCTCAGGGCTTTGTAACCTGAAGCCTGCAAACGCCCCCACCCTGCTATGTGCTGCTGCTACATCCCGTTGCCTGCCTGTAACACTGCTGGGTCACAGGCAGGCAGACAGCAGTCCTTTTTGTGGGGTCCATGCTGGGACCAGGGGCCAAGCAAGGCTAAAGTTGAGGGGGGGAGCATGGTGCAGTCAGGGGCATCAAGGTGTGGGGGAGAGTAGGGGACTCCTGGGGTGGAGACAGCATAGTGTGAAACCATTGCTGCAGTCAAGAAGATTTTTCAACCCAATAATTTTTTTTAACTGATAATCTGCAAACTTTTTACTGACAATTTTTTTTATACTATGGTTGGTGTTAAACTCCTAAATTTGAATGTGGCCTTTGTCCAGGGCCTGGCAGAAGAGTTCCATTCACATTATGTAAAACATGTCAGGAAAAAGTTTGCAGATTGTCAGTAAAAAAATCTGTCTTGGGTTGGGAACTCTAAAGCTAACATTTTTAAAAGTGCAATCACCTTTTGAAAATATTCACCTCTCTAATTTGCGTAAGTCACACCACAGGCAGGAACCAATTAACAGACTTATAGCCCTGAGCTTTAAGTGCAAGTTTGCCCTTTCCTCCTCCTATTGTATCTGCTTCCATTAAGGTTGTTTAATGGTATGCAATCTTAAGAACAGAAAAGAGAACATTTTCTTACCAGCTTTTCTGCTTCTGTGTTCATGTCCCTTAATTGCTTGATGTGCTCCTTCTTGATCATAAGGATTTTTGATAACCTGGTCTAAAGACAGAGAGAACTTATTTTTAGGATAGATACTTTTTTGAACGATTTAAAATAGTTTTGGAATGAGAATTGTTGAAAAAATGACCACTACTTATAATAGATAATGTTCTGTCTGAATACAAATTAAGTAAAAACTTGAATTTTTCTCAGGCCTTTTAGACATTTTCAAATATTTTCATCTGCACAAAGCACAACACAGTGCTCTTGAAGTTCCCCAAAGAAAGCTTTACTTGGCCTTAGTGAAGCCACAGCTGGAGTACTGTGTCCAGCTGTGGGCCCCCCACTTCACGAGGGATATGGATATACTTGGGAGAGTCCAGAGGAGAGCTACCCATATGATCAAAGGCCAGGAGAGCAAGCTTTACAAGGAGAGGCTAAGGGACATGGGACTCTTCAGCCTGGTGAAGAGAAGGCTCAGGGGGGACTTGGTGGCTGCCTATAAGTATATAAAGGGGGGGGTGCATCAGATTCTGGGAGAACACTTGTTCACCAGGACTTCCCAAGGGATAACAAATTCTAATGGCCACAAACTTCTAGAAGGCCAATTCAGACTCAATATAAGGAAAAACTTCTTTACAGTCCATGGTCTGGAACAGACTCCTCCCAGGGGTGGTGCAAGCACCTACTCCAGATTCATTCAAAAGGCATTTGGATGCTTATCTTGCTGGGATCATTTGATTCCTGCAGACTTCCTGCCTCTGGCAGGGGGAGTGGACTTGATGATCTCACAATGTCCCTTCCAGCCCCTAACATCTATGAAATCTATGAAAGACTGAAATACATGACTGTCGCAGAGCTCTCAGGTGCCCTGCGACTGAGAGCAGAAACGGCTCGGGAGAGACCCCTAGTGGTGGGAAGGGGGAAGCACAGCTGCCAGTCACCAGGACTGCACAGGTGCTGGTTGCCCTAGCAACCAGGGAAACCTAGAAACAGGAAGGGGCAGAGCTTAGCCCTTCTTAAGCCCAGGCAGAAGGCCAAGAGGGCAGTTCCCCTCCGGCGGCCGAGGGAGGAAGAACTCAGCCAGAACAAAGGGGAGAACTCTGACGGTTGGAACATCCCCTGGTTCCTGCTGGGGACTGATGCACTCTCTCTCTCCGGTAGGGAGGGATTCGTATTTTTTGACCAGAATGGTCTAGCTTTTATGTTGTAGCCTGGGGGCTTTGCGTTTTGTGTTTACTGTTTCACCGGAGGACCGGGTGAGGCTATTAGGGGTGAAGGAGGCCTCATAGGAGCTCTACAATAGCGTGGGGTCTCCTGGCGCCAGAGAGGGTGCAGCTTTGTTTGGGGGCATGCTGGCCCAGCCCCAGAGCTAGGGGCCAGCGAGGAGCCCCAACTGTAGGGGGCAGCGAGGAGCCTGGAGTTGGCACGGGCGAGAAATTCCGAAACAGGCAGTGCGTGACAGTCTAGAGGGCGCCGGTAGGGGCACGGGCTCTGAGACGAGCTAGAGGGCACCGGTGAGGGATAAGCCAGAGAGCGACCGTGCGGCGCAGGGAGTAGGACAGACCTGAACAACACCAGAAACATCTGCAAGGCTTGGGCTGCGGTATAAGGGGAGGAAAGGAGTCGCAGATAGTGCCTAAGGCACCAAGGCAGAAAATAGGCAGCCTCCCATTTTGATTAAGATCTTTCAATCAAGCAAATAACAACAAGGCGTGGCAGGCGAAGGCGGGCAGTTAGCCCTTGATCAGTGTTGCGAGACCACGAATAGACGGTCCCAGGGAGGCACAACTGTCACAGTGACCATATTTAGGGAGATTAGAGGGAGAAGCATCCTCCTCTTCTTTTGGTCTCCAGTGCTCCTATACAGCAAGGTTCTGGGTGTTCTCATCATCACTGACTACAATAAAGACCAAATGTGTCATCCCCTCTCTCACATTTTTTAGCTTTTTTTTAATAATTTTTTTTAGCTTTTTCCACTTGTTGTGCCCTAGACAACACCTCTAACAGGCACTACTGTACAACTGGGGTCTGTAGCATACAAGACAACTCTGTGGGCTTTCCATATATTGATCTATTTTTTTTTTTTTTTCTGCATGTCAGGCCTAATGTGTTTTTTGGACAGGGCTGCTAGATTTCTGCCCTTAATACATTTTAGTATAAGTGCGCATGTTAGTTATGACTCAGAAGAAATCTAGCTCAATGAAGTCAATAGTAGTTTACTGACTGATTTTTGAGTCAGGATTTCACACCTTACGTAATTCAAAGGATGCATCCTGAATCCTGGAACTGGTGTATATTCTATTCGTACTGAGACATGATGAGAGCACCTATACTGGAATTCAGAAGAATTGGGAGCACAGTATTTTCCGAGGCAAGTCATAATAACGTAAGGCAATGAAACTTGGTACTGAGCAGTTTACCACTGAAACAATCCTGCTCTCTCTCTCTCATACAGGCAGAACTTAGGAATCCAAGGCATAGCACTGAAAGGTACCTCGCAGATCAGAGTTCAATTCCCTACCACTGAAAACAATCGCACAATCCCATTCTGAAATGTATCAGACTTCATCTTAAAATTGTAATGAAGATTGGTCCAAAGACTGATCATTTAGGAACATCACTAGTAACCACTATACTCTAGCTGAATAATTCGTATTTCACATGCAACCCATTGTCAACTCTTCTGAGCCAGTTCTTTAGCCACTTTACACTAATGGCCATCTTCTCCAGTTTAAATGAATTTCCTGTGTGGGAAATTAAACAAAATAAGAAAAGGAATGTGGAACCAGATTCAATCTATGTGTGTTTGAGTTAGCAATTTATGCTTGAGTTTAGAGTTACTACAGAACGTTTACAGGACACCCAAGTATTCTTACTGTTTAAATATTTTATACTACATTGTTTGCAATAGCTTCTAAGAAGTGCTGTAAATGCATTTGCTCTTCCCAGTTGTTAAAGATTTTTTTAAAAAAATTCTTGCATTTAAAAAGAAATTTTGATTTATTCCCATGTTTTTAAAATCAGTGAGGAAGATATGCAGCACTCTGGGAATGCACTGCATTAGTTAAAATGCTCCCTCTCATGGACATGTAGCAGTATGGCAAAAGTTATTTTTATTTACACCGGTGGTTCAAAGATTTTTAGATTTTTTAGGCTTGACAGACTTAAGGCACTGTCCAGAAAATGCCAACTCTTCATTTTTGCTGTTTTTTTAACTACAGATTCCACAACCCCTCTGAGTAATCTGCATGCTGCTACCCTCTTTGTGAGGCAGTTTTTCCTAATATCTAATTTAAACTTCCCTTACTGCAACTTGAGACCCTCATATATAAGACTGTTATTGTTGTTGCTATTATTTGGTACTATTCCAGGAGTGCCGTGTCATTCGGTCTGAGGTGCTTTCCCATGTTCTGGAAATCTGGTGGCAGGGGAGAAGTGGCATTACTCCCATGCTGTCAAATATTCAGACCCATACACAGCCCCGAGCCCTGCACACTGGATCAGGCAGCAGATCCCAGCATGCAGAGCTGGTTGGGGGCAATGCCAGGCCTGACAGCCCAATCCCAGTGTGGGGGACTAGAAGTGGGCACGGAGGGGGGGTGATGCCAAGCTTCAGAGCTGGATCTGGCCCTTGGACGAGTCCTGAGCCATTCATCTGGCCCAAGGGTCCAAAAGTTTGAGTACCACTGTTCTATTTAGATTATTTCTTAATGAGCTCATCCCCAAGATACAAGAGGCAATCCATTGATAGTATAATACATTCATTTTGGAGCTTTTTCTTTAATGTGCCTAACTTTGTTTATAAAACTATACATTCTAATTTTAGTAAATATCAAAATGTAGTGAAGGGATAGCATCAGGCATTGGTTTAAGAAGTGGGATATCTCAGTTTTCAGTTAACAACGGTAAAAATCAGTCATACAGGACCAATTTGGACAAAATTTCTCTCTTCTATTTCTTTCAAAGGCTGATTTTTTTTCTTGCAATTGATTGTGGGTGCTAATTACTAGTAAAGATAAAGTTTCGTATCTAATCATACTGGGTCTTGCAAGAGTCCCCCAGTTAAGTTTGAGTTGTGTACCCCTAGCATAAGGAAAACCACCACGTAATAATGGACAAATCAACAATTAGACATCTAAGTATTGTAACTATCCACAATTAATTGTATAGAAAATTAGAAGCTAGGCTGAAATCCCTTCGAAGATGTAGCCCATTTAATTTTGTTCAAACACTTTTTTCCAGAGATTGTCTAACTGCATTTTCCTAATTAGTAGCTATGTAACATTCCTGTTTCAGAAAATATATTTCAAGCTCTGAATTGAGGTAATTCCATGGTTTTGTGGATGCTGAAGATGGGTTAATCTGGATTATTTGCAATTTAGATGCTTAAACCTCATTTAGGTACCCATAAGACACTTTGGACCTAGCTCCTAGCTTCCTATAAACTACAGTATTACACGGTGGCTTTCCTTATGCTAGGGGTACACAACTCAAATTTAACTGGGGGACTCTTGCAAAACACAGTTTCCAATGGAGAGCTGCCACTGGTGGGTTCCATTCTAGTTGGATACCAGCTTGCAAACTTTGTTTTTACTAGAAACTGTGATTAGCATGAAGGCAAAGGCTTGAGCATGAGATTCCCTGATTGGGATATCTTAATTAGTTGATACTTTCTTTTATTTGATAAAATTCCAAATCAGTTGCATTTAACAAGATTTTCCCATATGAAGAGCAGATGACATTTCTGCTTGTTGCAAGTGTTTGAGAATTCTTAGCTTTGAACATGTTTATAAAAGCTTCTCATATCTCTCTTCCTTTGCAATGATGAAGACAGTGTTAACATAGCTTGAGGGAAAAAACAAGGATTGCAGGGAGACGCCCAAAGTTCAAATGCTATTTTTGAAGGGATTCCATGTATATCTCCCTTTAGAATGTTATTTTCTCAGTTCAAGATTCATCCACATACTGGCAATTAACCTTTAATATGGGGAATGTACAACATCAAGAATATCCCCATATTACAACAATGGCAGTACCTAGTGCAAGAAACGTGACTGACGTGCGGTATAGTCCCACGGAACTTGGCTAGTGGAATGCCTAAACTTGACAGCATTCCATTGAACAGCGGTAGTTTCCTTCAGTTCAAATAAAATTCATTTATACTTCAGACACATAGACTGTATAGTTCAGATGCTATAAAGGATGCCATCAGGAAATGAGGGAGGCTGTATTTTCATTCTTTTATTATATAATTAGAACCATTCTAAAATGGCCAGACAAGACTGAATGCTGGAAATCCATCATCTGTCTTGCCAAAAAGCACTCAAACAGTCTCTATATTAATGAAAATATTTTTGCTTGCTCAGTGCCCTTGAAGATACATTTGTATCTACCATATGGTAGAAAAGCTCAATTTATTTAAGATGAGTAGTAGTATATTCAAACATCGCTGACAGATTTGGCAAATTTCTAATTTAAAATATAACAATGCATTGGACAGCTCATTGATACATTGTGGCCAGATAACTGAGCTTTACTGGGCTCTTCTATTTCTTAGTCAGTTTCGTCTTGTCACAATTTAGCTGACAGTTCTCACTGTACATGTTAATGAATCAAAGTGAGATAATATCTAAACAAATCTTGGAATTCATTAATCTTTACATATTTCCCCTTATTTTTAGTGTAGCTGCATTTAATGTAAAGCTCTCAATCTCACGAACTGCTTTACCACTATTTCATGCTATTTTTCTCTATGTTATTTCTAAATAGTAATAGGAACTGTGAAGTAAAAACCTGAAACAGCAACACACCATAACAAACTGAAGGTAATTCTTCATTTTCAACTTCTTTAAAAAGATAATATAACTGATTAAAAACTTTAAAAAAACTATCAAAAATTCCTCTCAGCTTTTCATATTGCACTTTAGCAAAATCAAGCAGCTTTACAATATTATTGCAAACTCTATAGTCAATTCTTTAACTTTTAAAGTTAACATTACTAATATGTTGACATTCAGAAGAACAACTTGCCTAGATTAGTTTCTGCGTTCAGTGAATTTCTGCTTCCCAGTGCTACCTTTCCTAGACTTTCTCACATTCACAGAACATATTGCTAATTTACTTCAAATAAACAAGTAAAAGGTAATGATGGATTTGCAATATTAAAATATGCATCTTGAAGGACATCCACATTGAGAAAAGTGTTTGTGGTCTGCAGGGCTCCCCACAGGTCTGCAAATATGGTGGCAGGAGAGCACTAGTAATTAACACTGTTCTCTCTGCTCTAATGCCAAATTTCTAAGCCCTGCAGGTCAGAGGACATTACCCTGCATGTGGGGTTGGAGCTGCAGGATCTGTTGTGGGGTCCAATCCTACATGTGGGACAGGCCGGGGCAATGGGCAATATCTGCCATGGAATCTGATCTCACACAGCAGATGGGGCCTATGGACTGACCCTGAATCACTCATCCAGTCTGCAGGTCCAAAAATTTGGCCACCACTGGTCTAGAAGCATTTTTTTCCAATTTCCTTTGAATTTTTAGGGAATATCCAACTGCCTTTTATAAAGAGTTGGCCGGACATACTAGCACTCTCCCTTATTTAGTGAATGGGATATATAGAGGAACACACTGTTCAAAAAGTCCTGACATACTACTACGTTGCAATTTGAAAATTAAACTTTTAAAAAGCAGGACTGAGAAAACAGTATGTACAATATTACATAAGAAACAATCATAAAACAAATATTTTTGACAAGTAATTCCTGAAAACTTTGGTAATTTTGACATTAGCATTAATTCATACAGCATGAGTTAACATCCTAAGAATTCACAGAATGGATGTAGAAGGCCAATACACCCAAAATTAAATGAAGAACAGTTAACACTTACCACTTGGATAAGGAATTCTACTGGAAAACCACCTAGTGTTTCACTATCTGTGCCTGAAATTTTGTTTTTCCAAGATTGTCCTAATAATGGATCATTGTCCTATGCAAGAAAGAAAGTTACATTTAACAACTTGTTTCTAGAAATGCAGTTTTAGAAACCCCTATCTTGCCTGCTGTCCACATTAATTTAATTTCAACAATATGCTGAATTACTATTTTACTATTTCACATCATATCTTTTTGTTAAGAAGGGAGACATTTTCCAGGACACATTACTTACTGTAATAGGAGACTGGAGAGAAGGTGGGTAATGCAATCGGGGAGGGGTCATGAAGAATCGTGAAGGCCGTTGTTTTTGTCCAAAGGCAGCAATCGGCATGGTTTCATGAGGCTCATTGCTCTTTTAGATAGGATAAAAAGAAAACCAACTACTTCAGGGTTACTTTAAATGAAACTAAAAGTTTTATGTACCTTTTTGCACATTATAAACTCATGTATTTATATATCAAATTAAAATATATGTTAAATCATTGGTAGGCTAGCATTAACTAGTACCCAACTCCAGAAAAGTCAGGTTTGAAGAGACTCCCACTTCAAATGGATGGAGGAATATTAGAGACATTCTCTCCTACCTAACAGCAAAGGTCTTATTTAGCAAGGCATCAGGAAATTAAAAAAAAAGTTTACAAGAATGCTCTACTTCCCTTGTTGGAGTTGTGGAAGATCACAGTTCCTACAAGCAGGGATGGTCTGAACTGAAGTCAGAACAGAATCCATTTTTTATCATGATCTGTTATGCACTGTCAATAGTTGACATTATATGTTACAAAATAAAACAGGAACCTCTCTTTAATGATCATATGATAAAGATCAACTTGTTAGACAGAGAAACTGTCTAAGAGTGTAAGCTGGTATATAGATCTACTTGTCAGGTAAGATAAATTTAAACTCGAAATTATACCTCAGTCAAAGGCACTTTCTTCAGAATTGGCCTTACTATCAAGAAAGGCTTTGAAACAAGAGCAAAACTAATTTCAGCAAGTCATGAAAAGATGTAAAACATTCTCTAAATATCTCATAGAGCTCCTTGCTAGAGTCCCAAGAAGGAACTTCCCTTGCAGTCTTATCTGAATCCACATTTTCTTTCACAATGAACTTAGGGTTGAACATATATAGTTTCAGAAGGTGATCATTAGGGGTGTGCGAAACAGGCCATATTCAATTCAGATTTGGCCCAAATCGGGGACAGTGATTGTATTTGTTGATTTGGATCACTATGCCTGATTTGATTCAGCCAAATCTGAAGATTCGATGCTGATTCAGAGAATAAATGATTCGGCCATAGACACAGCTTTAAATGTTTTTTCTATATACATTGAGGTACCAGGCGCGGCTCATGAACACTGCTATGCTGGGGCAGATGGAGTGTCCCATGGGAATGTGGGGGGGGGCCCCCCCCACATGCTCAGCGGTGAACCCAGAAGTGGACCAGTAATACTTCTGGTCCACTTCCAGGTCTGCCAGGGTATCCCCCCAGACTCAGGAGGTATCAGTCGCCAAGCCGGGGGGGTGCGGGGTGCCCCCAGTGTGCTCCTGGAGAAGTGCTTTTGGTCCACTTCTGGGTCTGCTGCTGAGCGTGCTGGGGAGCCCCCCGTGCTCCTGTGGGACGCTCCTTCTGCCCCAGCATGGCAGCATTCATGAGATGCCTGGTACCTTGAGGTATATAGAAAAAACATTTAAAGCTGTGTCCATGTCTGAATCTCTGCATCTTTCTGAATCGATTCAGAGGATTCTGATTTGATTTGGAGAGATTAAAAGGTCTCTTGATTTGATTTGGAGATTTGGCAACCGAATTGGGCGGAATCTCCGCCAAAACAAATCAGGGACTGAAGTTTCGCAAAACCCGAGTGATCATCTGCTTTGCTGGGCATATAGCCACTGAATGCTCAGTGCAGAACTACATTGCCTGGTCTTACAGGGCTTGAAGACTGTAAGAAGTGAACTGGTATGGCCATATGCATCCCAAGACCTAATAATTTATTACAATGGCACAGGAGGAAGTTTTTCCTTTAAACTCTTGGACTTTCATGCAGGGAAAAGTCAGTACCTCTTCACTTTACTGCACTGTAGGGACTGTGCTGTTCTGTGTGGGAACAGAAAACTAAGACAAGAAAAAAGGGGCCCAGAAACTACATGGCCAAATTTGCCATCAGATTGGCCATGTAATTCTCAACAAAAACATTCAAAAGGCATATCTTCATTTACAAAAGGATATTTAATATTCATCTCCCAGGAATGTGTTCATTCCCAGCCCCCACTTTTCTGCTTTAATTAAAAATATAAGCAACAACATGTTTCTGGAAAAAATATTTTGCATTCCTAGTGCCAACACAAATAGGTGAATAATACTTACAAGGACTTCATAATCTGGGACTGTATGCGTTCCAAGCCCTGTTCTGTCAAAAGTTACTCTATACGTAGCATTTAGAGTGTCCACAGCATCTATCTGTCCAGTGAACAGTCCATCGTGGACGCCACGCAACCGTGCTAAAAAAGAGGAAACAAATATAGTATTTCTTTGAAGAAAATACATTTTTAGTAGTATTTTGCACTGGCAATAGACCACCTCTCTAGTAAGAACAACTTACAGCCCAGTCTATATAAAAACAAATTAATAAGAAACACTATGCATCCATAAAAGTGTCCTATATTATAACAGAACCATCATCAAGGTCTAGTCCTCATTTATCTTTCCAAGGCAGAAATCTTTCCAAAACACAAACCTCATTGTCACAAGAATTATTTTTAAAAGAAATTCTGCCTTCAATGAATCAGGTTTGATAGGTAAACTGAATTTCTGCAGGTCCTGAAACACCAAATCTGCACCACTTTGACCAACTCAAGTGATGACAATGAATTCAGTGAGAGTTAACAGGAAGGAAAACCAGTTCAGAGTTGGAGTTCCAGGAGAGCAAGTTAGAGCTCTGAACAGTGGCATCCGTAGGCACATCCATTTCAAGAGAAATCATTATTTAGACAATGACAAATATCGTTGGCTTGACTGGGAAAGAGAGTGGAGTGACAAGCCTAAATCATTAAGTAAGAGAGAGCTGTCCAAATTCTGAGCAGCCAGGGGCCACCCAGGCCCACGAGGCACCCCCACCACATGGGCAGTGCAGGCTGTGTGGGCAGCATGTGGGTCCTTTCCCACTGTGTTGGAAGTATGACCTCCCCTTGCTCCCCCAACCTATGCAGGCTGTAGGTTCTCTGGGCCCTTCTAGGGCAAAATTGCCCCATGCCTAGGAGTGGGAGCAGGAAGCAGAGGCTGGAAGAGGAAGGGGAAGCCCAGAGGCTCGGACTGAGGCAGTAGCAGTAGTGGTAGGAGGAAAAGCTGCTAGGTTCCAGTCAGCAGGCCAGGTGTTAGCTTCTTGCAGCCCTTCAATGAGCTGTGAAATGAAACATGTCTGAATCACAGACAGCAATGTCTTCTCATTTTTTTACAGAAGCATGACTTTTTAATTCAGAATGAATGCAACAATTTCAGCAACACTGATTCTTCACTCATATGTAGGTTTCTCAATAAAGCAATGTTATTTTAAAAAAAAATTCTGTTCCTTAATATTTAATTACTTTTGCAATATCAAGTGCTCACCTGCTTTGGAACAGATATTTTAACATTTACAAAGAACTGTAGTTTAAGCTTAAAACTTAGAGCCAGATCCTACTCTACTCTGATCTATTTCAGCCTGCTCAATTCTGTGAAAAAATATTAGTAAAACAGTGGAAGGGTTCTTTTCCTCCTCCCTTGCTCTTTTTTTTTTTTTACTTAATTTTGAGGCCAAGGTCCCAGCATATTACAAAAATAGATACATTATTGGATTCTTTGGAACTTGAACATGGTGGAATAGGATCACACTTAGGTGCCTAATAGGCAGAGTCAAGGATTTCTTAGGATGACCGATATCTTTTACTGGGCCAACTGTGTAGTTGGGGTAAAGTCAGCTTTTACATGCTTGCCTATCATTTATAGTAAGAGGTGGAATAACATATGCCCCCTAAATTTTAAAATAACAACCAAATGGAAGATTTAGATTAGGAATTAAAGAAATGTAAACAGCTTCCTCTTCAACCTTTGAATATTTCTAATTTTTTAAAGCAGATTTCTTACAACTAAAATTGCAGTAATAAAGCTATCTTGTTTGAGGGTAGTATTTGGAAATGCTACTTCTTTATGAACAGTAATTAAATTTGAACATTTTTACTGGAAATTAACTCTGTGTTTTAAAATTGCTTTATTTTGTAAAATTTACTGATACTGAATTCCCCCAAACATTTAACTTTTTAAAATCTATTTGTAGTGTGCTATGTTTACTGATAAATTAAAAAAACCTATGTTTTAAAAAGTACCTGTAACTTTTGTTCCTATAACAAGTGGTAACGGAATTTCTTCTGGAAGATCTTTGAACTGTGAGATATCTGCAACTTTCCGCTGTTGTAAAAGTCGAATTTTCTGCCGTTTCTGTTTTAGTGCTGACCTCTCCTCCTCAAAGAAGGCAGAAGAACATCTACAATATGATCAGGTAAAATGACTGTGAAACTCAGCACTGAAAATCCACATACATGGATCTCACATGCATATGAAAAGTGTGTTGTGTAGATCATCAAATAGACATCATCTAAACCATCAGTTCTCAACCTTTTTAAACTCCAGGAACCCCTTGTTAGATGCTAGGCACCCCTCAGAAAATGCCAGGTTATAGCTTTCACTCTTTTCTTGACTACAGAAGATAACAGAGCAATTACTGCAGCAAATCAGAATGTTTTTGATGCAACGGCTTTCTGTTTGAAATCTCTGGGTTTATTTTGCCAATTGTGTAGCTGTTTGCCCACCTAATAACCATGCTGAGAAACACTCCTAAAAAGGATCTCATGGTACTCCAGCGGGCTGTGGCACCCATCTCAAGATTCACTGGTCTAGATCTTAATAATACAGGGATAAGATAAAAAGAATTACCGAAACTTTAGGCACAATGTTTTCAGCATAGATATCTCTTTAGGGATGAGGTGCCTCAAGGCATAAGCTTTCATAAGCAACAGGTTACTTCATCATCAGATACTATGAATTAGTCTATATAATACCACTCTGCTACACTTTCTGCTGGACTTCAGACTAACATGGCTAACCAACTCTCTAGTAAGAACTATTGGTAAATTGGTTCTGTTGTCTTTTTGCATTAAAAACTGTTAAAATCCTGCATTGTTATGGCACCACAGTTGATAACAATAGTGGGAGTGACAGGGTAATGAGGGCATGTAGCATTTTAATCCAAGTTGCCTTCTGCTGTAACTTGTCATACTAATAGCAACTTTTCTACCTTACTCTATGACAAAGACTGAGAAAGCTGAAACACTTTTGCAATCCTTAACAAATTATACTTATAAAAAACTAACAAGCATTGATTTTCTAAACTTGTGGACTAGTGAAGCTAATTCCAGAGCTCAAAAGGGGTATCATATAATATACTTAGATGATTATCACCTAGTAGATATTTTCTGAAAACTGTAGAACATATATTAATTTAATAACTTACTATTCCTCATGAAAAATTGAAAGATGAAATAGCCTTCATAGAACTAACTATCCAATTTAACTCGATAATATGATTTACAAAATATATTCAATACTTGAGTTTTAGTATTTATATTTTTCATTATTTTGTTCAGTCTTTTTCACATGCAATATAATTTATCCATCCTTTCTCTTGGATCCCCTGGAGTATATAGGCTCCATTATTAAAACCAAAATTAAAATTATATACATACATATATATAC